AGAAATGAATTACAAATTTCATTTATTTTTAGAGCGTGATTCCTGTAAGTAACTACCAGACAAAACAAGTAACCGGTATCGCTGCTTAAGGTTCTTTGCTCTGATGTGAGCTGAGGCTATCTCCACGGTGTAGTTGGCAGGAAACCATCCTTTTTCCCGGTCACGAATTCTCTCTCCTTCATACCATCCTAGAAAACAAAACAATTGATTAAATTGATTTATTAAAAATTTCAGTTTGCATTCACATGGGTAGAACAACTCAATTTTACTAACCATCTTTTGTTTTTCTCAATACATTGACTACATCTCCAACGTCCAAGGATAGCTCATCTGGTTGCTGGGCAGTATAAGGGTGTTCTGACCTAACTTGAGGGCAGTCCCACATTTCATATAGCTGTTCATTTGGATCTTCAGACTTTGGAGGGGAAACAGCTCCAAGCCAACGCTCTCTGTCCGACTCACTTCCACAAGACAAAACCTGTAACAACGACAAGTACTTGCATAATCCTACAAACATCAATGCTACAATTGGCACTTAAAATTGTTTTATTAAAATTACTCACCATCTCCATTGTTTTATTCTCTTGATTTTGCAACATTGTCAGTAAAACCAAATGTCGACCTTCTACTCCACCCTTCAAAGGTGGTTGCAGCTGCAATTGCTGAGGTTGTGGCAAATCCTCCATGGATGACATCTGAACAAGATTTCGGGGACAGTAGTCCACAACACAGAAGGTCTCGTCACTAAACAAAAGAGGTGGACACATTATTTCAAGTTCCAAGAATCTGGAGAAAGGAGTAATGAACACAATTTTTCTTGAAGCTTACCTTTTGCTTTCAACAGATCTTTTCCGTTTTGTCACAACAAGAATGTCAGTGAAAAGAAACAGATGAACACTAATTTTATTGACCTTGCGCCCAAATGTGAGCTTGGCATCATCATTCCGCCAGATCAACTGGGTCAAAGCACCTGACCTTACAAGCCAACGTGCACTTGAAATAATTGGGACAGGTTTAATATTTTGAGGAAATTCTAATTGTCGACTAAGCAGCATCATTTCTTCATAACGTTCCATTTTGCGAGCTCCTTCATTGCATTCGGCTACCACCTGAGAGTCCAAGCAATATGAGTTGATTAAATTTTATCCTGAAAGTCATAACAAACTCGTACTAAACACAAGAAAATGGTGATGTTAACAAACAAACCTTATTCAGGGATGCAAGTGCAAGTTCACATGAATGATATTCATCATGTTCTGGCTCCAGACGGTTTAGGACTGCTACCAATAATAATGGTAGTCGACAGATTCTTTGCATCGGCAACATTAGGAATGAATGAAACGACAAGGACTGGCATTCTGGTGAACTTTCTAAATGCAATAATGCCTCAGAAAACCTACTATCTCCCTCTCTGAAATAAGCGACAACAGATCATTGTTAATCAAACAGTCAATAGAATATGCAGGACATGCTATGTTTGTTTCAACTAGAATAGTCACCTAAGCTTTTTCAAAGTCCGGTCCAAATATATCTGGTTTGTGCAATACTTTGTATAAACATTGAAGTATTCACTTGCATGACGTTTCACAATGTCACATATTCCTTGTAACATAATGCTGTCCTGCCAACACCTTTCCATATCTGCTAAAAACTTTTCTGAGCGAGCTCGGACTGCAAACAGAATAAAGTCAAAATGTAATGAAAGAAATAAAGCCCACTTAACTGAATAAGTGGAAGAAAAGCCGAAAAAAAAATCTTACCTGGGTTCACGCGAGAAAACAATATTTGACGATCGCCTTTTGATAGAACCGTTTCATCACGAAATTGAGGACTGTTCATGAAATGCTTTTCCAGGACATTAAGGGACTTCACATATGAGGCTTCTGAAGTTATCAATTCAAATTTAGCTTCCTGCAGCTTCTTTTCATGTGCACTTAAAGAATCTGAAAGTAGAAAAAAAAAACAATTTCAAGATGCACTAGATGTCTTTGAGAGAGAAGAAGCAAAAATGAAAAAAGCAGAATGGTGTACCTAAAACGCCACTGTCCCTGACTTCCGGAATCTCACACCACAAAGTTCTATGTTGGCCTTCTCTTGGTCTGATGAGTTCCATAGCAGAAGGCCGACTGGACTTCACAATACCATCAACAATCTCTTCATAACCATCTGAATCGCCCTCTGCAGCTTCTTGGCGTTTGGCTTGTTCAAATATTGATGCATTGTAAAACTGATAAAGTGGTTCATCACTAAACAAAGGGTGCGACATGAGGGAACCATGTCCAGCTGAAGAATCACTGAGGTCAGTGGTGTGGCTGTTATCTGAAAGTAAATAATATGACCATAAAAATAAATAAAGAAAGAAAATTGGGGGAAATTTGTTACTAAAAAGAGGCAGGGTAACAAACACATGATCAAAGCATATAAAACTCACCATGTTCAGATTGGGAGCTATCATAGGGACTTGAATTTGATGGTATATTATCCCACAGTCCTGCTTCGGCATATAATAAAGATGTGTTAAAGGGATCTTCTTTTGGTGACCTCTTATGCAAATCTGTCAAACATAAAATTAACATGTACATTTTTGCCACCATTTATTACAACAGAAATATTTTGTAGCAAGTGCTCAATTAAACATACCCAAATTTGATGAATCAAACAGCCCACACTCCGCATACCAAGACGAGTTAGATTTTGCCTTGTCTTTTTGAGGGCCATTCCTTTTTGGGACTGTAATGACAAAAAAAAAAGATTAAAATAAAACTCATGAAGGAGGTATGGAAACAATTTCAAATTTCTCCAAATTTAGCTTAGTAATGACCTGGTGGAGGTGGAGGTGGTGGAGAATGGGGTCGCATAGCACCACTGTTTCTCCTTTCATTGGTGGCATTTTGTTGACTAGCAGCTGAAGAGGGCCGGGGTGGAAGTGGTATGGTTGGGGCACTCAAGGGGGGTCCACTGCGCTGACTTGCTGGAGATGCTGAGTCAGCATATGTAGAATTTGAGTCCATCTGTGAGGCGCTGTTCAATAAAGAAAATCATAAGTTTAAGAACCAGTCCAAGAAGTAGACGCAAAGTCAGAGGAATTAGCATTGTCATACCTGGATGATGATTCATTTCCTACTACCACTTCTTCAGTCAGGTAAAAAGTAGATCCTAAAGAAGCTGTAGAGCTTTGGCTACGCTTAAACTTGCTTTTGAAAGACCAGTATTTGTTACCAGTGAGTTGTCCGGACGACTGGCATTTTTCCATGGTAGGTGAGTGAGGTGGAGAAGTTTGATGAGCGGCTGTATGGAAAAAATAGAATTTAACTAATGGTAATTGGCACAGTCTAAACGGTGCCAAAAGTACAATTTGTTCTTTAGAATGCCTTACATAAAATTGTAGCGCCTCGAGGATCCACACTACTCTTTCTTCGCATTCTGCTGAGTTTATTGCTGATGTCATTTTTCCGAAGGGACCAGTTTTTACGGAGCTTCTGCATTTTTTTCCCAGCAGCCTCCTTAAACCGCATAACATGCACACCGTATATATTTTCTCTTGGTGGGATTTCAGGCAGTTTACCATTGTGAGTGTTAGGAATACCCTGAAAAATATAATTGTACGTCTATCAAACAATTTCCACATGAATAACAAAACACTGCAAGAGTCTACTGGGACTGGCATATACCTGTGTACTGGTAGAATGTACATTGTGATGCAGATCTTCATCCGAGTCTGAGTCAAATGAATCTATGTCATCTATGGCATCTGGATTTTCATACAGGGACTCGTATGGATTTTCATTATCTGAGTCGGTGCTGACATCACCTGAAAACAAGGGAAACCATAAACCATAACACCACTTTCATTCGACAATTTCAAAACACATCTTGCTGTCAGATATTTTGAACAGTCCTAAGTTACGAAGTTTACAAGACAGGCTAATCTGTCGCTAACCTTCTTTTTCCAAGAATAAAGAAATTTCTTGAAATTCTTCCTTCTTGTCTGAGTATAAGACTGTTCGAAGAGATACTGGCACATATTGAACAGGACTGTTTTGCACGTGGCCATTGGTGTTTGTGTAGGAGTTGTTTGCTGTTAAGTCGTATGCGGGATTCCATGGGAAGTAAGTAGTTGAAGCAGATGACACAAAAACTGAAAAGTGAAAAGAATTTTGTTTTCTCAAAGTTGATATAATTCAACCAGGGAAGTCAACCTGCTGCAAGGCATATGCTTTAAAATGGAACGAGCCCTCAAAAATAAATAAAGAGGTGCTTGAAAATTGAACTATGTTCAAAGCAAGCCTTCATTTTACAGTTGAGGGAAGCCCCAGGTAACTGCAGCAGCAGGCCGAGCGACCAAGGAGAACAGCAGGTGGCAGCCATAACCTCAAACCAGGCTGGCCTGCTACAGCCTGGTGCCTGGCAGTGGCAGACCCTCTTTACCTTGGTCCGCGCAGGGCGGTCTAGGCCTGCGGTAAGTATGACCCAGAGAGCGGTGGGAGCCATTCAAAGACCCCTGGTTCACATAACCACCGATGCTCATTTTTCTTCATTGTACCCTAATTATTTTCTGACCATAAGCACTGCACAATGAATGCTCTGCGCCGCCAGTCTGCCGATACGGCGAGGCGGAGGGAGAGAGGGAAACTGGGATCAGTGCGCACACGGCGCGATTATTGTGATAGAGACACCTGTCGCTGTCACTCGCGCCAATCGCGATGATGGCGCGCGCATCGTCTCCACTCACTCACACTGACACACACGCACACACACGCACGCATGCACGGTAGGCTTTTGGCACGGACGGGACACGCCTCGCGAGGGGCGAAACCGCGCGGAAAACGCGAACGCGGACGGCACGACGAAATGCCCCGAGAAGCTCGCGGCCTGCCTGCCTGCCTGGGCTGGGCTGGGCTGGGCCTGGCGCTACAGGGAGAGGGAGGGACGCGGCGAGGCGCGGTGCGGTGCGGCCCGGCGCGGTTGCGACACGGAACAACCGACTTGGAGCCGCAGCGGCGGCAGCAGCAGCCCGGCCAAGGTTGTTTTCAGAGCATGACAGGCGCCAGCGGGGGTGCGGCGGGCGGGGCGGGGAAGTACCTGAGGGAAGGAAGAGGGGAGGGGAGGGGGACAGGTTACCGGGTCGGACGCACACCCACTCGCCACTCGCTGGCTACGCGGTCCGCGGTACGCCGCGGTACGCGCACGAAAGGGCCTAACGACCACGCTCTCCGACGAGACGCCGAGGTCGGCGACGTCCATCGACGGCGGCGGCGTCGAGTCCCCGGCCTCCCGGGGCAGGGCTGTAGCTGTTCTGTCGTTGACCGCGTCGCGTCGCGCTGGCGGACTGAAAGACTGAAACCGCGCGACCCGCGCCGTCAGTCTTTCCAGGAAATTCCCACAGCTTTCACAGTGCGGGCGCGGCGTGCGCGTGCACCGCGGCTCCGGAGAGGCTAGGCCCTCCAGCTAGGCTCCAGGCATGGCTCCAGGCAACGAGGCCCCGCGCTAGACTCCAGCACGGCCGGTGTGTGCTGCCTGGCTGCCTGGCCGGAGGGGCCGCGGTGCTCGAACGCGCCAAGCCGCCACGGTCCATACACACACTGCGCGGCAACAGCGCTAGGGCTAGAGCTCGGCGGCGTACCTGCCTTTGCCGCAGGAGAGCACCGGGACCGCGCAGGGACAGAAAGAGCGGGGGTGGGCCGAGGCCGAGGCTCGCCGGTGACAACGTCAAACACAACGTCAACGACGAGAAGCGCGTCATCATCGAGGGGCGGCGCGGCGCGGCAGGTGCGCGACAAGCAATCAGCACACCCGGCCCGTGGACGCGGAGGTGTGGGGTGTGTGCCAGGCTTGGCCAAGCCGCTCGCTAGCAGAGCTCTGCGGTCTCGTTGCACAAATCAGCCCGGACAGGTGGCCGCGCTGGCGCACTGGCAGGGCGGCTGCCAGGCTGGCGGCACACGGACGAGTGCGTGGGCGTGGAGGTCTCCAATTTCTCCGGCCACTCTGCCGCGCCACGCTGCACAGCCTGCCGCGCTGCCACGCCCCGCCGCCGGCACGCAGGGGGGTCCACGACAGCCAGGACGGCCCAGCCTGGCCCAGCCCCCGGCAGGAGACAGCGTCACCGTCGTCGCCGAGGCCGCGCCCGAACTACATCAAATTGGCAGCAGCGTGACTGCCACTGCCACACCTGCAGGCTGGACGTCAATACTAATCCCGGTGGGAAAGTGGCGGGAAAAATCGGACTCCAACTCGCGCCACTGCGGCACGTCGTCGGCCGCGGGGCCGCGGGGCCGCCGCGCACCGCGCACCCTGCCCGGGGTGCCCCGGTGCCGCCAAGGCCGCCCGGTGGTCGTCACGTCGGACCGCGCCATCGCCAGCCATCGCCACAGCCGGGGTAGGGAGGGACCGCGCGCAAGCGGCGTGGCGGCGTGGCGTGGCGGCCGGGTGATTCAGAGTGCCCCGTGAGTGCGACAGAGACAGACGACTCCACTGAATCGCTCGGCGTGCAGCGCTGCCAGCGAGGGGGCGCCCTCCAACACGGTGGTCAAGAGGGCACGACCGTCCCAGACAATGTCAGTCGCTCCGGGGGGCGTCGCCGCGTCGCCGCGTCGCCAACCGAGTGTGGTCCGTGCGCCACGGTCGGCGGGGCAGGCCGGCAGGCCGGGAGCACCAAACCTAGGCGACGACGCCCTGCCGCCTGCCGCCGCCCCGTTGGGCGTGACGAGGAACGGGGCGACGCAGCGCGCAGCCTGCAGCGTGCAGCAGACGTCGCCGATGAGACTTATGCTGGCCGGGCTGCGCTGGGCCGCGCCGGGCCAGCGTTCCCCGGGGCGGAACAAGAAAGCAATAAGGACGCCACGCCGACGGGAAATATTTCAGAACACGCCCGCCCCGCCCCGCCCCACCTCGCCCCGCCCCACCCCGCCCCGCCCCACCCCGCCCCGCCGCGCAGCACTGCAGCTTGCAGCTTGCAGCCGGCGGCTAGAGGCCCGCGCGCTGGCTGCGCTGGCTGCGCTTGCCCGGTGACACCGCTGGGAGAAATTCAGCATCCCGTCGTAAAAACGATCACGCACGTTTTGAGCATACCGGCCGAGCCGTGCACCTGCCGAGCCAGCGCGGTTCGCGTCGCGTCTCTCTCGCACGCCCACGGAAGGTCTCGCGAGAGCGAGAGAGAGCGAGAGAGACAGAGCGACGAAAGCACGGTTCGGGATCGGCCCGCTGTCTTCCGCCCTTTCCCCTCGGCTCGGCGCGGCGCGGTCCGCGGTGACAGCGCGGCGGCGCGACAGCAGGCGCACGCCGAAGACAGAGACGGAGTCGAGGCCTGGCGGGCCTGGCCAGGCGGCGAGGAAGCAGAATGTCAAACGGGGAAGAATGTCACGTCCGGGCCGTGACCGCGGCAGTGGCGGTGGCGGTGGCGGCAAGGCCCGCCAGAGCACGCCGCTCTCTGCGGCGCTGCGGCCGGAGGGCCGGACTCGGCGTGAAGCTCGTTTTACCGTCCATTAGGGGCCGAGCTTGAAGCGCTTCAAGCGCCAAGCGCCGGGCGTGGCTCGCCGGCCTCGCCGGCCACATGAGGCACGAGGCGCCCAAGCGCGGCGACCAGGCGCCGCCCCGCAGGCCGTCCCGCCGCGCCCATTGTACCGCGGACGGAAGGCGGGCACGCTGCGCCACTGCGCGCTCCGAAACAAGCGCCACTTTACGAAACCGAAACCCAAACTTTGCGTATCGCTTCGCCTCGCCTCCCCTTCCTCTGGCCGGCTTCCGCCGAGGGGCGCCACGCCGGCGGGACGAGGCAATTTGAATGAATGTGGGGCCTGCCTCCTGCCTGGCCGACCGGGCTGGAGACCTGAACGCGCGGGCCCCACGGTCCCCAATCCGAATCCCAATCTCAATGGAATGGAACGGAACGGGGAACGCCGGCGGGGACTCTCTCTTTCTCTCTCTTGGGCAGTAACGGCAACGGGAACGCGTGCTTACAGCGTGGCGGCGGCCGAGCTCGGCGAGCGGGCCGCCGTGCGGGTAGGCAGTCCCGCCGCAGTCGCGCGTCTCGCGGGCGGGCCTGCCCAGCCAGGCGGCCGGGCCGGGCCGGGGACATAGCACGCCCGGTCTCCTACCGCCGCACGCTTTCGCCGCTGCGTCTGCGCGTGCGTGCGTGTGCAACGTGCCGCTCACGCCACGGCAGTGCCCCTGCCACTGTGCGATGAGTGAGGGTTCCATGCCAAAGTGCGACTCGACAGTAAGTCTGCTGCCAACGATCGCTTCCAGTGAGAAAGTCGAATCGGAATTCGAGGAGACCCTCCTTTACCAGTGCAAAGAGAACAGCGGCGGCGGCGGCAGGCTGTCTACCCAGTGTGCGCGACACGGCCTGGACGGAAACCCCACAATTCTTAACTTTTCCCCCGCAGCCCTCGCCGGCCGCTCGCTGGCGAAGCGTGCCGAAGCCCCTCGCCTCCCCTCGCGACGTCGACGTCCTCGGCGTGGTTCGTCCGCCCCGCCAGCGCCGCTGGCTGCGTCGGCGCGGCCCGCCTGGGCCCTGGGCCCGTCTCGCCGGCCTAGCCCGCCGCCATTGTAGCCTCGCTGCACATTTGCACAACGGCATTCAATGGAGTGGGAGGGGCGCGGGGCTTCGGCGGCAGGTTGCAGTAACGTAACAGCGATCCTGTTGACTCTGGCTCCCCTCACGGCGGACGATTGTCCTCCGCGGCGGTCCGGAGGACCCTCGGCGTCACGCCCGCGCTGCCCTACCGCGCCGTCTCTCTCGCGCCAACACGGAACGCCCCATGAGTGCGCGAGAGACGGAGCGACGCGGTGTTCGGAACGAGCAGTCTACTGCTCACCCGGCCACCGGCAGGGGCGCCATCGGGGAGGTGTGCTGAGGCAAGGCGGCGACCCTCTCGACGGACTCGACACGTCTCGTCTCGAGCACCGCGTCGTCGGCCCGTCGGCCTGCACCACGACAAACCGCGGCACCACGACGACGACCTGCTTGGGCTGGGCGCTGCGCTGAAAAGCATGCGGTCACAAGTCCCGACTTTCTATGAACACGCGACGCGCTCACACACACACACACGCACACACGACGCCGCGTTGTCGCCATGATGACGGGGTAGGACTGCCTATCGCCCCGAACGGACTCCTCGCGTAACAGTGTAACACGCGGCCGGCGCTCCGAAAACAATAATTAATCCAACAACATAATGACATACAAAGTGCGCTTTTCCGCGGGCGGCGACACCACGGCGACAACGGGATTCCAACCGACGCTGCCGAGGCAGCATCGCGTGACCCGTCCTTGTCCTGCACACGGCGCTTGACATCTCTCTCTCTCTCACTCCGAGGCAAAACAAACGAGGTGGACTCTCAAAAAAATGGAAATGAATTGGGTAGCGAGGTGGCGATGTGGTCATCGCGGCGGGAACTGTTTTTATTCTTTTCCGCGGCCAGGCAGCGCCTCTTGCGCTACGCCACGCCACGCCACTCTACGCGCGCGGTCCAGCAGCCCTGCGGGTTCCCTGCAGGTTCCCATGGTGGCAGAGAAATTAGCTGAACGCAGTGGCGGGCGGGGCGGCGGCCGCGCGCTGCAGCCGGTGGCAGCGGCGTCCGCGTTCGGGAAAAAATAATTTTAAAGTAATTTTGAGGCAGAGAGCAAAGAAACCGATGTCGAACGACGCGGGGAAAGGGAGGCGAACGACTTAATCAGCGGGCAGGTCTGCAGGCTGCAGGCTGCGGGCGGCACCGCCACGCCGCGACGCGCCGCGACGCCGAGCGGGAAGGAAAGTTTGGCTGGGACTTTTGTTTGGGAGCGACAAGGATTACGCGGCCAGAATGGGTCGATTAGTGATCGATTAGGGTGGAGTTCCGGGGACGGCCACAAAGGCGGTGCGCGCCCCAGGCGCTCTACCCGCTCGATCTAGAG